GCTTTCCGCGTGGTGACTTGGAGACTTAGGATCCTTCCGTCTAGTGACTCTGCCAGCTCTGTCCTCGGCCTCCGAGTCCTCCTCTGCATCTTCTGCATCAGGCCAGCCGATGAGAGAGGGAGGTGATGGAGATTGCTCCTGAGAAGCCTTTATGGGCCAGGTTTAAAAGTGGCATTCATCTCCACTTCCAGCACATTCCGTTGTCTAGAACTTAGTCACTTGGCCACAACTGCCTGCCAGGGAGACTAGGAAACGTAATCTAGATGTGTGCCCAGGAGGAAAATTAAATGAATTTGATGAATGTCTACTAATCTACCAAAATGCTTAACCTTCCTCATATTAAGCAAAATGTAAATTAAATTAAAACTCCAAGGTGCACCATTTTCCATCTACCAGATTGACAAAGATAAAAAGTTTGATAACAAGAAAACATATGTAATACTATATGTAATACTTTAAACCATTAAAAAAATGAAAAGAAAAGAAAAAGATTTCCACTCTGAAAAATAAACCGTTTGATAACACAATATAGAGAAATAGGCACTCCCATACAAGAGCGGGTTAGAAGGAGGATTGGTATGTCCTCTATGGAAATTTAGTAATAGTGTTTGCTGCTGGTGAAGGGAACTCAGTGACTGGGACACAAAAATAGGAGAGAGACTTATTTTTCACTATATACCATTTCACACTTTTTCAGTTTCATCATGGGCTTGTATTATCTGTTCAAAAATAATTGTTTAAAAAAATAAAAAGTATTCCTTCATAAAGTATGTGCCGGGCATATTCCTAAATGGTAGGTCACAACAGTAAGCAAGACAGTAACCCATGTTTAATTTACCCCCCAGTTCTCAACTTTTCCTATTGGTCCTCTTATTTCTATACTAGAGGCCCTATGCACGAAATTCATGCAAGGGGCTCAGCCCTTGCAGCCCCGGCTTTGTCCAGAAGGTCATCCAGAAGGTCGTTCGGCTGTCTGGTCTAATTAGCATATTACGCTTTTATTATTATAGATATTCAAATTGAAAAGTTTTTCTTCGTAAAATTACCAAGTTTCTCCTCATGGTCTTGGTTCTCATTCCTTCCATGTTAGTAAGTGATTAAGTTCTAAACATTCTTTTCCATTATTTCCCTTCAAATATCTTAAATTTCCATAACTGCACACAATCTAATTTTCAATCCCACAAGAAAAGACAACCATACATAGCAGTAGTGATGGTGGTGGTGGTGGTTTCAGTGCAGGAGGCTTATCCCTAAGAGGATGGAAGTAATTTCCTTTGAAATTAAATAATGCTGGCTACTATCTTCTTTTGTTTTACAGACTAATATTTGTATATCTGTTACTTCAAAGACCCAGTGAAAGCTAAACATTTTATCTTCCTGTAGAAAGTTATACTCTTTATAGAAATGAGGGAAGCAGAAAAGTCTAAAGAAGAAAAGAATCATCATCCCTAATCCCTCTTAGTTCAGGAGTTGAGAATGAAGCAAGGTCCAGATGTTTCTAGGAAAACCTGGCTTCATGGAGTCACGTTCTCTCAGGGACTCGCAACCAGCCAGCATCAGGTCCCCAGCCTTGTAAGCACCGAAACCTGAATTTTTCGGCACATGTTGTGAAGCCTCCTCTTAAGATAGACTGATATTAGCCAAGCTAAAAACTAAGTCCCTGAAAATGTTTCATTTATTATTGACTACAGGGCTTCCAGCATCAGCCCCACTTGATGGCCTCATATCATGCCACTTCTACCTGTGCATTCTTTGCCCCTGCCCTCAGGATCACCTGCCCTTCCCAGCACCACAGTGTCTTGAGCATCACACCTTTGCATATGCTGCTTCCTCAGCCTTCAGGCCAGTGCAGCCTCCTTAACCTCCAGGTTCCAGCCAGGGACCACGCCACCGTGCTCTCTCCAGGCTCCTCGTCAGGATGGCTGATTCCCATTAGCATTTTGTGTGTGCTCTTCTACCGGATAGCCTACTCTGTGTGTGCTCGACTCTCCTGCTCTCCATAAGCTCTTGGGGATAGGAAGTGTTTTCAGTTTCTCTCCTGCTCTGGACCTCCTGTCCTTGTCAGTGCTTTGCCGCCCCTCCCCATAGTCCTTCCTGGCTCCTGGTGCACCTTTGTGTTTTTCAGGTGCATCCCCAAACCACAAGTCTGCCTGACGACTTTTGACAAATTTGGGTGTAGCCAGTTCGAGTGTTTGCCACGACAGCTCACCTGCGACCAGGTCCGGGATCCTGTTTGTGACATGAACCACATGGAGCACAGCAATCTCTGCACTTTGTACCAGCGAGGGAAGAGCCTCTTGTACAAAGGCCCGTGCCAGGTACAGTTGTATAGCTCACAAGCCCAAGTCACAGAGATAAAATTGCTTTAACAGATGAAGACCACTCGAGGGTCTTCTATGAACCCTGTCCCATCCAGAGAACTCGGCCCTCTACTAAAAGGAACCATCCCCAGACGGCCTTTTCCTCCCAACTCCAGAGGACTTCCTTGCTAGTGTGTGTGCCTTTGCCCATCTAGTGAACCAGCGAGAAAAGAGAGTGGCTTCTTATAGGAAAAGAAGTTAAAGTTTCCCCCTTCGGCATGAGTCGGCCCATTTCCACTTTCCGTAGTTCTGTGGGCCCTCACTGGAAAACAAATCAGGAAGAATGGGCATTAAAACAACCAAGAAAAGAGTTCTTTTCCAAACACTCTTCCAATGAAGTCCCTGTCACATCACGGAAATTAATCGGAAGTTTCCTAAGACAGTGTCTTTTATATCAGTCTATCTCTGTGTCTTGTAAGGTTGTGGAACCTGTGTTCATGTTTTCATGTTTTCAGAATAACCTCAAAGACAACCCCCGAGGCTCCCACACACTGATCTGTGTGCCGGCCCTGCCCCGGGAATCCTCTGCCCACAGCCAGCTAACGCCTGGCGTGATCGCTTCTCATTTCCTTCTTCATTGTCAGGAGAATCCCTTCCTCAGTTTGTCTCCCAGAGAGCCTGTGCTCTGGTACCTGCTACATTGCATTCCCAGTCTTCTCTTCTCTTGTGCCCTCTTCCTGGCTATTTTTCTCTCACAGAGTCCTTACCTGCTAATGGATCTAGAGCAGTGGTTCTCAACCTTCCTCATGCCGCGACCCTTTAATACAGCTCCTCATGTTGTGGTGACCCCCAACCATAAAATTATTTTCGTTGCTACTTCATAACTGCAATTTTGCTACTGTTATGAATCGTAATGTAAATACCTGACATGCAGGATGTATTTTCATTGTTACAAATTGAACATAATTAAAGCATAGTGATTAATCACAAAAACAATATGTAATTATATATGTGTTTTCCAATGGTCTTAGGCAACCCCTATGAAAGGATTGTTCGACCCACAGGTTGAGAACCGCTGATCTAGATAGAGTCTCTCTGCCCCACGGATCTCTCCACTCTTCCTTCTCCTTATCCCGTACCCAAGTGTGAAATGATAAAGCCTCCATATTTGCATGAAGATTGATTTTGTTTTCTTCAAACGGACACTTCTGGAATGATAGAAGTCTGAGGGAGTGGGAGTTTTATCTCCTATCGATTCACACGAGTGAGCACCAAGTCCCAGAACGGCTGAGCACAGTCATCTCTTCAGTTCATTTTGGGACAGCCCGCTTGTCCCCCTCCACCATGTGGAGCCCACCTCAGGAGCTTAATTAAGAGGGTCCCCAGAAGTTATATCTGCATCTTTTCTCCTTCCTGAAAGTAGGGGGACCTACTATGGAGCCTCGGTTAGGAAACGTGCACCATACAGGTTTCCAGGCTAAGTGTGATTATTTGCCCTCAGCCCTTCTGCAGAGCCACGGAGCCCGTCTGTGGGCACAACGGGGAGACCTACAGTAGCGTGTGCGCAGCCTACTCGGACCGTGTGGCAGTCGATTACTATGGGCCCTGCCAGGCCGTCGGGGTCCTCTCAGAGCACAGTTCTGTCACGGAGTGCGCTGCTGTGAAGTGTCCTTCACTCTCCACAGCTGAGTGCAAACCCATCGTCCCACCCGGTATGTGGGGTGGGGCAGGGGTCGGATTGGGAAGCCTTGATTATCTGCCTCCTGACGGTGAATCCCTGAGGAGAGCATTACGAGCTTATTTAAAAATTTCAAAAAAAATCTTAACTCTACCTAATACTGATTAGGTGCATAACTCTGGGTTGACCTTAAAAAGCTGTGGATTACCTTAGACATCATCTGGTCCAGTGGTTTTAAAACAATATGTCAAGCAAAATCTCATACTGAACACCTATATGTAAACAGATAAAGCAGTATTTAATTACTAAAATTATGATTATTTGTTCAAATAATGTTTACTCTTAAAAATGTATATTACCATAAACGTTTTAAAACAATATGGCCATCTTTTGTCAAGCAAAATCTCATACTGAACACCTATATGTAAACAGATAAAGCAGTATTTAATTACTAAAATTATGATTATTTGTTCAAATGCATAATGTTTACTCTTAAAAATATATATTACCATAAACTTAAAGGACAAAGAATTAGTAATTAACGAATGAATAATTGAAGTAGTTTTGATGAACACAAACATTTGAAATTGAGAGAAGGCCTAACCCACATGGTCCAGGAGAAAAACAAAAGACAGCTGTTGTCTGCTGTAACCGGTTTGGCTCAGTGGATAGAGCATCTATGGACTCAAGGGTCCCAGGTTCGATTCCAGTCAAGGGCATGTACCTTGGCTGTGGGCACGTCTCCAGTGGGGGGTGTGCAGGAGGCAGCTGATCGATGTTTCTCGCTCATTGATGTTTATAACTCTCTATCTCTCTCCCTTCCTCTCTGTAAAAAAATCAATAAAAAATACATTTTTTAAAAAGACAGTTGTTGTCTTAAATTGGCCTTAGGATCCAATTTAGTTGTTTTAGTTGCATATAATGGAGGAAGTCGTGTAAAAAGACTATTCTAAGCGATAACAGTTTTCTTAAACAACTTCCCTTACCGTCTCTTACTCTTCAGTTAAACAGAGCAGTCAGAAGAGACTTTATCCCAAGTCAGAACAGATTAGTGCGCAGACCAGCAAGTCCATTGCTCCACCCATGAATTCATCAATTGTTTTTTGAGCTTCCACTATGTGCCATATACTCTTCTAGGCACTGGGGGCTCAGCAGTGAGAAAACCAAGCCTCCTTCCTCCTGGAGACCTTGTTCTGATATTCTGTTGGTTTTCTTTAACAGTTTAAAATCATTTTTAAAGTTATATTAGAGTTAAACACCCATGGAATCCCTGAAGTACCTGCCCCCTTGTTTTCAGGTAGAAATCAAAAGCCCAGGAGAGCACTTGCCCAGGGTCACAGTGAGGTTGAGGCGAGGCAGGTCTAGGCTCTGTGTCTCTCTGTGCTGCCTCGCACCACAGCACCTCCCCTGAGAAGTGGTAAAGGGTGGAGCGAGGATGGAGGAAGGATTTGGGTAAATGTGTAGATTGTAAGACCCCGGGTTGGTCAGGGACCTAAAGTGCAGTCATCAGGGAGGCCAGCTGTAACTCTCCTAGCACAAAGCGCAGGGTTGGTCCTGTCACCAACTGTTTTGTGTCCTTGGTTCTAATTCTGACCACAGATGGTACGGTTTCTGTTGCACAGGTGCTTGTTGCCCATTATGTGCTGGGATGTTAAGAGTTTTATTTGACAAAGAAAAACTGGATACAATTGCCAAGGTAAGTTGCTTTATATGCTGGGTGGAAACCTTACTGGTAAACCGCTGTAACCCTTCAGACCAGAGTATGTTGTCCCAGTTATAGATGAAGAGATTGATTAGCAGAGAAGCAGCTTGCCCGAGGCCGTTCAGTTTGTAAGCGGTGAAATGAGGGTTTGAACTCCAGCTGTCTGGCTCCCGATCCTGGGCTCCCTTCCTACACCCTGGCTGGGTGGCGACCTTGCTCCAGGCAGCACAGCCCGAGCCTTTCTGGGAAAGGTCCCCTCCTGGCACAGGAAGCAGGTTAGGGCTAGAGGCAAAACCAGGCGGCCAGAGACTGGTAGCTGCCAGATGGTCTCGGGGTTGCCTGCCCTCACGGTCCCATTCCCCTGTGGGCTGCTTCCAAAAGCAGCCACCATCCCGGATGTGAGAGTTTTGCCTCTTTTCTTTTTCTGTACCATCGCTTTTACTGCCCACTGTTAACAAATGAATCATTGAAGTACAGGTACACAAAGCAGGTGGAAACAGGGCTCCCAGACATGTAGCAGCCAGTACCTGTCACTGCCTCGAAAATTACCCCCATCTCCCCATTGTCCTCAGAACAGTCACTTTGAAACAGAGCTTCTGGTGCGAGTGCTTATTTTAGCTACAGAGCTCCCAGTCAGGCAAAACCTCATCGGCATCAACTTCAAATCCAGCTGCAGGGCCCTGCACTGACGGGTTCCTTGGCCAAAACAGCCCCTTGGCTTAGGCAGTAATGAGGAGTTCTTTTTTTCTGATAATAGAAATTTATTTTCTCTTTCTAGGTAACGAACAAAAAGCCAATAACGGTTCTGGACATACTTCAGAAAATCCGCATGCACGTGTCCGTCCCACAGTGTGACGTATTTGGATACTTCAGCATTGAATCCGAAATAGTGATCCTGATCATTCCTGTCGATCATTATCCCAAAGCTCTGCAGGTGGGGTTCAGCATACAGTTGTGCTGCATGTTGTCAACTTCAAGTTTGGTGGACTTGGCAGGGGGTGGGCACAGACCAGCATGGGGAGGATCAGGTGGTGAGTAGAGGAAAGGAGGCATTTCGGCAGGGCAGGAGGGAGCAGCTGGGCGGTGTCTGAGGGACAGAGCTGCACCCTCGAGCACTTTGCCAGGTGATGGGCCAGGTACACATTTGACAGCAGAATGCTGAGTCGGGGAGGGGAGAGCTTGAGATGCTGTCACTCTAAGTGTGGGCAGATGGAATGATCTGCTCATCCTACAGACAAGGCAGCTGGGCCCAGGGAGGCAAGGGAGTGGCAGGTCGCACGGTGACAAAGCAGAACAGACTCCTGTCTCCTGAGTCTGTGCTCCCACCCGGGGGAGAGGAGCTGGTCTTGTGGGCCAGGTGAACCTCACTCACATAGACCCCCAAGTTTCAGCATCAAAATAGTGAGGGCCCAAGCAAAGGGGGGAATACAAGCGGCCTCTAAACTGCCATCATTAGGAAGTTCGTTCAGCCTAATTACTTGCCTGTAATTGCTCCTTCAGCAATTAGATGTGTGAACAGGCATGAAAGTCCGTTCCCTGTGACTGTGTTTAACCATGAAAGCTAATGTCTGAACGTGGATAAGCAGTGACAGGATTGTGGAAAAAGAAGGGACAGTGGCATTGTGGATCCTTTCATTTCTGATTTGATTTCCATTGATGCTGTTATTATTTATGTAGTGAATTAAGACCATAATTAAATGTTACTTTGGCTAAGAAAAAGACAAAGTGAAAGCACATTCCCTGTGTTGGAGTAGATGTGGAATTTGACTTGACCTTTTCATGGGTTCTGTGGTTTTATATTAAGAGAATATGATTTTCCTCTCCCAGATTGAGGCCTGCAATAGAGAAGCCGAGAAGATCGAATCCCTTATCAACGCCGACAGCCCTACCCTGGCATCCCACGTCCCTCTCTCTGCCCTCATCATTTCTCAGGTGCAGGTCTCCAGCACCATGCCGTCAGCCGGTGTCCGGGCCGGAGCGCCCTTCCACTCTGGCCTCTTCCTCCTCGCTCTGGGCTTCGCCTTGCACACGGTCTAGACATAACTGACTGCCCATGAGACATGCAGAATGTTCCTCAGTCTAATTTCCTGCCTGCAGGTTCCAAGTTGGAGAGTGGCCAGGTCAAAGCATTCATCACCTCTGTTCACCACACAGTATTTTTTTTTTAATCTGCCAATATTAGTAGGGGTTTGGTTTGGTTTTTATAAATGTTCAAAAATTTTCCTCCAAATACTAATGAAAAGAGGATGTTTCTTCTGGTGGATCACTGCCTTCCAATTTACAGGTTGCTCATTAGGTGGGTCCCTCACTAAAATATGTTCAGTGTCACTGATGAATGACATTGTCACTTTTTAGAAAGATAACTCACTCGACTGTGGGCTTTGTATCACAGGAACTTCATTTTAGAGTTCCTGTCAGTGTTAAGGGCCCCTGGTGTTTGTGTTTGTTTACAGACAATAACCTACTCCGTGCAGAAGCTGGGGCACAGTGCAGAGCCCCTGCATTCAAGGATAGGATGGAGATAAAGCATCTTTGGAACTATCATTAGATCATCAGGCAGCCTTAACTTACAGCATTTAATTTAGGAACCCATCCATTGTGACCAGCAAAAGCAAGCTAACCAAATGGAATCAGTCTCAGTGGTTACAAGCATGTGTCTGTGACTTTGGTGAAAGGGAGGAGATCTATCGCATCAAAACATCTTGCATTGTGCATCTTTATGTTAACCAGATGTATATTCCATTCTCAGTATTCATCGAGGCAAAAAGTTTTTAAACATCAATCTTTAAACCAATTGCTGCTACTTAAATAATTGCCAAAAAATGAAATAATTAGTAGCTCATGTAAATAATACATGATTTTCCTATTTTATTATGAAGAAGGTGAATAGCCATATTTGTAAAGTGACAATCATGTGTACTAACCCAGTACTTTCCGTTTTGAAGACACATTTGCGTTTGTGGCATGCACAATGTAGATATGTGTTCTGTCTGACTTTCTTTTCTGATATAAAATTATAGAATTATGGTTTATATATTTAAAATGTCAATCTAAATGTTAAAATGTTGGCATGTTGTCTAAGAAATTGAATACTTTGAATGTTTCACAGTTTGAAATAAGCTATTCAGTGTAATACTTTTTTTGTATGCACATAAACTTAGATTTTACATGAAGTATTTTTTCAGTATTATATGTACCCTCGGAAATATATAAGGATATGCTTATTATACCAAAATGTTGTTTAAACGTGGGCACTTAAGCTTTCAGAATATCTCAATGCCAATGTAGCATGTTTGTTGCAATTCCTTTTTTTATATAAAGTCTTCAATGCAATATATTGGAAAACTTTTATATTTTAATAAAAATGATCTTTATATGGTTATGTGTGCACTTCCGGGCAACGTGGACATTTAAAATGAAGCCATTTCTCGCTCTGGGGTGAGCTGTGTCGCTTGCTCGGGACTCTACTGAGGACATGTTAACTGGGCCAGACTGGGTGCTGGCCTCCCCGGGGCCTGGGCCTCTCCCTCAGGGGTGGCTGGGGTCTGTTTCAGCTCCACTGTGGGAAGAAAGTCACACCTGCCAGCAACACTAATGACCTTGGCACAAAATCCATAGAAAACATATGTTCCTTCGTTTGATTTAATGAATGATTTTCCTTCAGCCACAGGCTCCTGGAAGTCACCCTCCCACACTCCCACAGGGGGCACTGTACACTGAGTGGCCAGATTATTATGACTGACCAGATTATTATGACCATCCCATCAGTACTGAATTGCACACTTCCAAAAATACTGAATATTGAAAACTTCCTAAGCAAATACTCTCAAGGTTTTATTATTATTTGCATAACTAATTCACTTCATTGTACTGATCGGGTGGTCATAACCATCTGGCCACTCAGTGTAGTTCTCAAAGGGACCTGAGGCTGTGCCCCGAGCCTTCCCCCTCTCTCAGCTGCTGAAGGGGCTTGAGGGAAGGGGAAGGAAGCAGAGGAAATTCCTCTCCCAACCCAACAATCCCGAAGATGAAGGGCTAGGGTCCACTTTGTCCCTCGAGGGAAACAGGCCCAGAGAGAAGTACTGGCCCAGTTCCCGCGGGGAGTAGGGCAGAGCCGACCCTGCAGCCAGGTCCGGACTTTCCCTGGCGCCGGCAGCTGGGCAGGGCGAGCGCTTCTCGGGGATGGAGCCGCCCTGCGGAGCACCCCACGCACAGGTGCACACGGGTCAGCTGCGGGGAGTAGGCTCGGCAGACGACAAGGCAGAGGCGTGCTG